TTCTGACATGCATGTTTGGTTCTCGGTTACATGGAACGCATTGAGGGAGCCCCACCCAATCTCGACCAGTCCGCCCACACAGTAAACCGGGTATCAGGGGAAACGGCGCTGACGCTTTGGTGAACCGGGACCCTCCCACCGCGTATAACAAACTGACCAAATAATATTTTACTACGCACGGAAGCAATACTCTCTCCACAACAGAAAATGAAGCAGACCTCAGGCTCTCACACTCAGGCTTCTTCAGGTCGGGGCATACACTAACGCCGCCTTACAGCACAAGATTTACCTCGAAATACAGCTAACTAATACGTGTTCCTTCTGCGATGGTATAACAAACTCGAAACATGCTCTGGCGGTGCCCGCCTTACGATAGGGTGAAGTCGTCACGCCGTCCAAACGGGAGGGTGCTCATACGAGCTCCGGACTCGAACAACAGTTATGGGAAGTCCAACGGGCTCACGACGTCGCAGAGAGACTGTCATTCTGTTCCGACTTGAGAGCGGCCTGCAACGCGCTAAAACGCGTTCCGAAGGTTCTAATAAGGTTCATTCGTCCATTTATGCAATTAAAATTACCGACGGATTTGCATATTGGCTCCTGCATAAGTGTTACTGCCACGGACTGCGCATAGAAACCACACTCTCGTGCTAAGCAATGCCACGACTTCGTAGCTAACCTACAACGGCGGCTACCTTCCGCACACAACGCGTTCGCCATAAAGGTACAGCACAGCAGCCTCTTACCGAATGGTCGTTCTGCCAGAAGCCGCCTTCGTGCCCGGTGGGTGCGAGTCGAGCTTTGTCGGACGGGGCGAAGACTGAGGCAGTGCTGTCCACTTTCCCTTATCGCGTCTTTGCGTCAACAACGCGACAGTGAAACTGCGTAGCCGCTCGCGGGAGCAAGCTGACTGCATCGTGGTGGCGCCGAGGGACGCGAGATATCCAGTTCCGGTAGCCTGGTTAGCTGTGCCGTGTTTTAGCGTCGCCAAGTGCGCTGCCAGCCTGAAGCGCTGCATATGACAAGTGCTTAAAGCCGAGTCACTTTGTTAGGCGCGTGAAGGATGCGCGCGAAGCACATAGACTTCCACGCACTAAGTACAATCAATGCTTAAGACAACAACGTGGCAGCCTTGAAGGCACAAGACCCCTTCTTTGGCAGGGACCGAATGTGCAACGTTAGAAGGTTGCAGGCTCGGATCCTGCCGGTAGAAAGTGGTTTAAAGGGGCTGACTGTTGGGTGAATTGGTGTTTTTTCATACAAAGCATCGTGAGAGCGCAGCTAAACAGAACGCACGAAAAGGAACAGATGTAGTAGAACTCGCCGTTGGACTATAGTTGGTACATGTCTTAATTAAATGGTCACCTTCGCACCAAAATGACAACCACGCAGAAGACAAAAAAACACGTATACAGGACCGGTGCTCACTTGCAACTGTTTCTTCCTTGTGGATGCAGGCTATTATAACCCCCACTTCTCGCCAATTAACACGTGCGCAACATGACTGGGCCTTCGCTTGCCTAATCACGCTCACAAGCTCTCTAGATAACGTGCTTCCGACTCATACACGTTAAGTTAAAGGGTGTTCATTGTGTTAGCGAAACGTCACTCAGCATGTATGAGTCCGAAACACGTTATCTAGAAAGCATGTGTCCGATAGCGTGATTAGGTAAGTGAAGGCCCAATCACATTGCGCATGTGTTGACAAAAAAAGTGAGTATATAAAACGCCGTTACCTCAAGACATAAACAGCTGTAAGGGAGCGCTCGTCTTATTTATGTGTTCTCATCTTGTGTGTGGTGGTAATTTTGGCGCGAAGGTTCCTACTTATTTCATAAAACAGACGTTCTCGTTTCTTCTTTCTCGTGTGTTCTGTTTAGTTGCGCTCTCACGAGGGTTCACTCTACAAAGAACGTCTCCTATATACTTAACGTGACATTATTGTGTGTTAGTTCTCATTAAGCAAGTTAAGGGTCACTGACGGTTAAATAGTTAAGTTGTTCTGGCAAAATAAATTGCGATACATTTCTGCCAAGTTTCTGTGTCAACGATAATTACCCGAAGCGCGCCGTCAAGTTTATGAAATTTTGCTGTGAAAAACAAGTTTAGCCCTATCTTCCTTTTTGTTCCAAATGAGTTCCCAAACTTAAGATGCTTAAGAAATTTCATCGCTTCCTTTTCGGCGTTTTCTATAGGGAGACATCATGGCATTAATGAGAGTCTGGCAAGACAGCTTCACTATTTTTCGCCATTCTCTACTTGTAATGTTTTAAATGCGAATAATTTCTTAGCGAACTTCCGCGACTTTGAGCGTATCTATCTATCTAGCCGCTTATGTTTGGGCGCGCTCGTGGTTACCCCCTTACCTTGGCGAGAACCAAAATTAGCCTGGGAGGGTAACATGGTTTGACGAACATGACTCGCTGGTCAAGACATGAATAATGTCACAATCCCGTCGAGTAGGTCGTGAAACACTTCTTGTCAGACAGTGGGTAGATACTAAGTGTCAATAACCTGTGGCACATACCCGCATATTAGTGGCACATACCCACGGGTGGGTATGTGCCACTGGTTATTGACACTTAGTATCTGCCCAGGAACGACAAGAACACACACAGGCAATTTTAGCACGCGAGTGTTAAGGAATACCCGACATCAGTAGCGTCGGCCCGACGAATGCAAAGAATAATTGTCAGGGTTCTAGCTGGTATCGAACCCAAGGATTCCGCGTGGCAATGAAGCATTCTACCACACAGCTATGCCAGGTCTTGGAACGACTTTTCAACTAGACGCTAATCTTCATGAAATGTTGAAAGTGGTTGCAGTGCTGCCAATCCAATTTTTTAGGAATTACATATGTACTTATTTGATACAGCCGTCATGTCGAGTTAACATCAATTGTGGTTGGTTGCCATGCGCTGAAGTTGATTAATGTTGCATTGTCCAGGGCCAGCATCCTCGCGAGCATCAGTGCTTCATATGAACTTCTAGTGCTGCTAATACACATATTAAAGTTGGCATCGTTGCGCAAGTGCAAACAACTGGTTATATAAACATCTGCAACTTTTTAACATCTATTTAGCGTCATTTCATGACATTTCGCTGAATAAAAAAATTGCAACACGGTCACTTTCCCTCCACATGCTGCTTGTAACGTCGATTCTTAGTTATGTCAAATCTGCTGAAATTTTTTTTCAAGAGTGGCAAAACAAACTTTGTCAACTGCAAAAAAATGACGACTGTTGGCAGCCTAGAATTTTTTTTAGATAAGAATCAGGGTTGTGCAACGGTATCCAATATAGTATGTGCTCATTGGGAGGCGAGAGGGGGGGGGGCGCAAAGCCAGCCGCATATATTAAAAAGTTAAAGGGGGAGGGTGCTGCGGCAAATATCCCCCCCCCCTTAAAGAAAACCTTGCTCATGCTTACGTATCCGGATGTCTACACCATTTAGGCACAAATAGGTCCTCAGAAATTCATCCGTTAATTTCCACCACCATAACGTGTGAAGCAACTTGTCTTGCTACGGCGAAACATTTTGGCGCATCCTCATCAGTGGCAGAGCAAGCAAAGTATATGTAAAATGGCAGTGTAACTTCCGTAAAAACCTATGTATCCAGTAGATGGCTGAGCATTGCCACCGTCTTCATCTACGTATAGAAGAGACAACTATAAGAACTTAAAAATAAAAAAAAATGATGTCACAGCCGAAACCGGTAGCGACGTCAGGCATTTGTCCTATACATGGCACGAAATCAAAATTTTCCTAACTGCTGACCTTTTATATGCTTCTAGATAAGTAAAAGATATTATTGCACCTTCATGTCGGGCCACTTGCGTGCACGAGAGAAAAAAAACACCAACATGAAAGACATAGGAAGCAAGGCTGTTTTATTGGCCAAGTACGGCACTTACAATATACACCAAAACATTTGCAGATGTGCCCCGCCGCGGTGGCCTAGTGGCTAAGGTACTCGGCTGCTGACCCGCAGGTCGCGGGTTCAAATCCCGGCTGCGGCGGCTGCATTTCCGATGGAGGCGGAAATGTCGAGGCCCGTGTGCTCAGATTTGGGTGCACGTTAAAGAACCCCGGGTGGTCGAAATTTCCGGAGCCCTCCACTACGGCGTCTCTCATAATCATATGGTGGTTTTGGGACGTTAAACCCCACAAATCAATCAACATTTGCAGATGAACCACTGCAAGGAGATAGCAGCCTTGGGAATATCACTTTACGAACCTTAGAGTATAGCGTTTGGTTGCTTAGCGCGTCGCTCTCACCACCACGATAGGCGAGGGCACGCTGGCCGTGCGCCAGCGAAGGGAGTCTTGGCACAGCATAGGCTATCCACGTATTCTGTGAGCTAGTTCAGCTCTGAAATGTCACGCCAGTGAACAGCGCATAAGCGAATAAACTACGGAAGGTACGCATAGTAGGATGAGGAGGAAACAACTTCATTGACGTTAAAAACGGGTCAGGTGATGGAGGGGAATGAAGTCAGGGAAAAAGAAGACGATGAGCCCTCAGGCCCCTCTGGGTGGCAGGAAGTCCATGCGATTGGCCAACCCCTATGGCTCAGAGTATGATCCGGAGTTGTTCGTCCGTCCGCGAGGTGCGGAAAACCACCACGCGAAAGTGAGCGATGTCTCGTTTGTACCGGCAACGCGCCCAACTGAACAAAAGCCCTGACAGAAGATTGCCTGGACACGCCCCCCCCGCGCCCCATTTATGACACTGGACCAAAAAACAACTGAGGCAATCCACCATTTAGCTATGAGACAAACCGTACGGCAAACGTATAGTTACCTTGGCATATGTAAAATTACATCTGAAAAAAAAAATGCTATTCGGTTTTTGGTTTTGCTATTTTCCCTCCTCACCTAGTAGCTCTTCCATCGTCGGTGGACATTCATACTTGTGGCAATACAATTTTGACACTTTTTGTGCCAAGTTTCGCCATCAATATAAATTGGCCATACCTGTTCTTTATGCCACAATATAGCTACCTCGGAACATATGCTCTGGTGGTGCCCCGCGTTACTCTGTGGGGAAGTCATCGCGCCGTCCAAATGGAAGGATGCTATTGCAAGCCCCGGACTCGACCAACAGCTATGGGCAGTCCACCGGGCCTGCGACGCAGCAGAGAGACTTGGCCCGCTACGTGCTAAAGCCCCTTCTGAAAGAACAAATCAAGTTCATTCATCTATCCATTCATCCAAGGCGCGCAAGATATCTGCTTCCGGTTGCCAGTGAGCTGTTGTGGGTTTACTGCAGCACCGACGGTGAGCTGTAAGCATGGCGCGTTTGGGGCGTCTTCACGTGCGCGTCTCCGGAGGCGCTCACTTGCATAACGGCTCCCTGCGCGTGTTGCAAATGACAACCGAGTCACATTGGCTAGCATATCAAAATACGAGAAGGTAGCAGTGCACCGCTGGCGCTGCATTGAAACACAGCACAGTTCATTGTCGACCGGAAGCAAATATGCGTCAAGAAGGCTCCCGCCATCTAGCGAAATTCGACAGTTTGCTTCCACCGGTGCCTTCGGGTGGCGATCCATGTGAGAGCTACCATGGACACGCTCCAGCTGTCACATTTCAATGCACGAGTATACCGTACGTAGTCGAGGCGGGTGAAAATGCTCGCTTCTTGGCATCGCATTCTGCTTGATGGTCACGTAGGCGAACGACAGAGGCAACAAAAAACTGGCACATACGACGTTATTGGTTGTATTGAGTGTGCCTTCTTTGTTGCGCCTAGCTCTCAGTTAGTCTACGCTAGCGTGATAAAGAACAATACCACACCTGCTTGCGGTAGGTAATAAAAAAAGCAGAACTTGGTGGCTGAAGGCCACTGAAGGGTTTCATTGCAGAGGGCAGCAACTTTGCAATCTCGTATGAATCTTGTGGCAGTTTAAAAAAACTGGAGGGCCCTTAAGCTTCACCTTTAAATGTTTATAGCGATATGCGCACGCACACACCCAAACACATACACGTGCGCGCACTACCCCCTTGGAAATCACTAGCCTACCTTCCCTTCTCGGTGGAGGCCTAAAGTGTTCCAACATGGCCGGCTTTTGCCTTCGTTTGCATCTACCTCGAACTTCCGCTTAATCAGCGCTTTTTTTTTGTTGGCAACTAAGGACGCTGACACAGGAATTTCGTCTGTTCGAACTCCTAACGCTATCGCCTTAAAGATTGCTTCGCGTTAATACTCGGAGTATGATAAAACGTCTCATCTTGGAAGCAGAGGCGGGGCTTCCACACATTCTTGTTGCTTCCCTGCTGTCATGTCAGGATCACGGTGCAAGAATATTTTAGTTGAGCGAACTCCGGGACTATCCACTGCCTGATAATGTTCTGCTTCGCAAGGACCCGAGAGATGGCGCTACAAACTTTTTTCCCGGCTCCCCCCCCCCCCCCTTTTTTTTTTTTCGGGGTAGGAAAGCCCCATGACGTAAGAAAGTAGCAGCGTTCATTTATCGCCGCTACTTATCACCGCCAACACCCTCGCTGCGCAGTCAAACTCCTACCTTATCACCCCCCCTCCCCCTTTTTGTTTTTGTGACGCCGTTCTATGCGGCGTGCGGCGCCGTTGATATCACGCGATAACCCGGTTTTCTCGCATTTGGAAACCGTCACCCACGTGCCGAATGTGCTTTGTGGAAATTTCCAGAAGCCCGCCCCTGCCATCACAAGATTGGCCTCGGTCATCAGTCAGGCGAGCATCTATCGGCATGCCGCAAACGAGAACATAATCAGTCCCTCCCCGCCAAGCGCTCGCTTGGTGGTGTTCGCACACCTAAAGTATTCTTGCACCGTGGTCAGAGTACAAGTATAGCGCCAGCTAACAACGTTTCACGCGTGGTACTGATTACCGCCATCGAGTATTTCATGTGCCACATTCTTTCACTCACGTGGTACACATATCCAAACGAATCGTTTACGAAGTCCGTCTCGAAGATCCGAGTCATCTCACCGTTTCGAGTCGTTTCACAAGTTTCGAGCAGCCTCCTGATGATGCCACTTTTGTAGGCGTTCTTGCCTTTGCTCCGTTGTCTCCACAGCACGTTTAGCCTTCTTTTGTTCATTCTTCCTGCACTCAACCATTATTTACCAGGCAACTACTTCAAAATACGATGAGCCAAGCTTCTTTGCTCTTCTGAGCCGCTGAGTAGCCATGCCACTCTCCTTCTCCATAGCTATACCACACAAGCGAAAGCCCCGCTATATGTATGTAGCACCGCGGCAGACACAACCAGGCGTGAATCGAGTCACGGGGTACGACCAGAATGCATCTGCCGCGGCTATGACTTCACTACTCTGGAATGCGCAGACCGGCGTGGCACACGCAGTCCCTGCACCTCGGGCATGCGCTGCAGGGCTCTTGTACGTGCACACGAAACCGCTTTGGCTCGGCCAGTGTAGCTATAACCCCGAAGAAAAAAAAATGACCTGAATCTGCATGTTACACTGCAAATGTCGTCGAAAGACGATAGTCTTGCGTCTGGAGCGAGTGAACAAAACGTTTATTTGATGTCCTGCGCAAGAAAATCGGTGAATGGTATTTTGGAGGTGCTTCGTTAGAGCGCCTCGAGCGTCTAGCGGAGGTGAACGAGCGCATTGATACACGTCAGACACAAGCGCCATCTGGCAGTTATCTTCGAAAATGAAGGCGTGCACGCCCACGGAGAAAGATGCGCGCCAGTCTCGGAGGTGATAAGGTGTAGAAGGCAAAGCGACGGGCAGGTGCCACCATCGTGTCGTCGTAGCAAAGCACTGGAAACGCCTTTTTGAGCATCGCGTTGCACTGTCAGCGCAGCGCCATAAACGCTACAGTCATTAAAGCTACTTGTGTGTGCCTTCTCTATAAAGGCACACATACAAAACATAGACGTGTTTTTACGGCACCTCAGATATGCGCAATATTTGCTTTTTAATTGACAATCGCACAACTATGAACGCTAGATCTCGAGCGATTTGGTGGGCGCTGTGGATGATTGATTGATTGATATGTGGGGTTTAACGTCCCGAAACTACTATAAGATTATAAGAGACGCCGTAGTGGAGGGCTTCGTAAATTTCGACCACCTGGGGTTCTTTAACGTGCACCCAAATCTGAGCACACGGGCCTTCAGCATTTCCGCCTCCATCGGAAATGCAGCCGCCGCAGCCGAGATTCGATCCCACTACCTGTGGGTCCGCAGCCGAGTACCTTAGTTACTAGACCACCGCGGCGGGGTGGCGCTGCGCATGGGGTTGGCCATTTGGTGCCGTTTGAGGTAACGTTAGGGTGGACAAAGAGAAATATGTGCAGACAGACAGATCAAAATTTTTCTGTCGAAGGTCCCCAAGAAAGACTGTCGTCTTTAAAACAAAAAGACTCCATCCACAAATCCGCAGTGCACCTGCTCTTCACCTGTGAAAGACACAGCCACGCCGTGGTGGTCTAGCGGTTATGGTGCTTCATTGCTGACCCGAACTTCATGGGATCTCATCCCGATGGCGGTTCCTGCTTTTTCGACGGACTTGAAGATGTCCGATTCCCATGTACCTAGATTTAGGTGCACGTTAAAGAACCCCAGGTGGTTGAAATGCTAGCGCGTGTGGTCCTGTGTAAATGGCTGTGTAAGAGGCTGTGGCTTCTGCTCCTCACGCTCTTTTAGCAACACGTGATGGCATCAGAGAAACGAGATCCTGCAGACGTGTAATGAACCCACGTGCTCCCGCGTGGAGTAGCGACAAACCCGCGTAGCGTGCTCTAACAGTAGTTCGAGACGTCTGACAGTAACAGAAACTACAGTGAATTCATGGTGTGATCCGCTTGCAAGGATGAGTCAACATCGGGCAAGGCGCACGTCATGAACTAAAGTTTAAGCCAACTCATCCGCTGTTTCGCGTGCTACTTATGGCTTCCTTAACGGAGATGCTGTGATTTCGTGAAGGACATTGATTGATTCGTATGCGGGGCTTAACGTCCCAAAACCATCATTTGATTATGAGAGACGTTGTAGTGGACGGCTCCGGAAATCCAGACCACCTGACGTTTTTTAACGTACACCCGAACCTGAACACACGGGCCTACAGCATTTTCGCCTCCATCGAAAATGAAGCCTCCGCAGCCGGTATTCGATCCTGTGACCTGCAGGTCAGCATCCGAATACGTTAGCCACTGGACCATCATAGTGGGGCTACACGTGTCATTAGGCACACCCATAGACCCAGCATTATTCCTTTCAGGACACATATAGGCCATTTTAAATTTTCATTTTTTTTTTCATTCACTGAAGAAATCTGGAACAATTTGGATGCATCGTTTCACGCATAGGCTCGAGAAGAGTTCGTTGAGAAACTACACAACTCCAGCTACTTTGAAGCTGTTTTTTGCAATCTTTTAACGGTTGTTCTTTTTCTGTGATGCAATCAATAGCTGTACTCGCACTTGGTGAGAGATTTTGCTGTAAATCTACGTAAGCATATCATTTCCTCTTTTTGTTCATATATTATTAGCGCACCTTGTTTGTACTAAAATATGTAACCACTCCTGCGATGTCTCGAAATCAAGACAGCAGTACTTATAAATAAATAAATAATAAATAAATAAAATACAGCAATGTTCCGCGTGAGGTCACTCCTGAATTTTTTTTACATACATCGTGTAAAGGGGCTCCTGAACGTCTTCGACGTAGCCGATGATCTTCCGGCGTGCGCACAGCGTGTCAGGGTACATTTCGTTAAACACACATTTCGTACAGCATGTTTGGTTCATCATCATTACTTCAGCTACACTGCTGCACGAAACGAGTGTTCTCGCTATCGCTCAACGCAAGAAGCAGATCAGCAGCTCGTACGTTTAGTCAAACGACGCCATTTAAGGAATGCGAACAAATGCACAAGGCGATCGGACACCACCCCGAAAAACGCTGAAGACAACTGGGGTACCCGACTACAGCGGAAATGACGGCACCGAATGTCTGGAGCTCCGGCGAAGTACCTCAGCGAGACAGAGCAACACGGAATGCTCCCTCGCAGAGTGGACTGCTCCGAGTCCGCCCCTGGAAAATGCGAACTTGCTCTGAATCGACTGATGGAATGCAGATTTGCGGCTGCGGTGCTAGAGACTAGTGGAATTCACCACAAGCCCCTCAGCTTGATCGCGCACCGCCATTGGCTCTAAGTCATCACGGTTGGTTTTTCTCGGTTCTGGTTGATGAAGTTCTGGAACTGGTCCTCAGTTTCCTGAAAAAGCAAAACATGTGAGCATTCACATTCAGCAGTTAACAGTT